TTACACTTTTTCCGTGTAACAAATGTGGGTAATCATACAGTAGGTCATGTAGTGCTGCTTCATTCCTTTTGATGGCTACATGGCATTCCATTACCATAATTTATTTAACTCATTCTCTATCAATGGGTATATGGGATGTTTCCAATCTTTTCCCATTACAAACAAGGCTGTAATTAATAGCTTTGTACAGATATAGTTTCTCACACTTGTGAATCATATTTTAACAGAGTAACTTCCTAGAAGTACAACTGCCCCTTTTAAATTTTGATAGACGATGTCACATCACCCTGTGTGGGTGTTGCCCCAGTCTGCACTCCCTCCAGTTGTGTGTAAGAGTGCCAGTTTCCCCACAGTCTTGCAACATAGTGTAGCATCGATATTTTTATCTTTTCCAATCTGATATCAGATACTCTAAAAATTAGCCTTATTCATTATTGCTCTGGTATGTTTTGTTTAACTGATAATATTGCCACTATATTATTTTCTCTTATTTTTATTGAAGTGTACTTATTTTTATTGAAATGTACTTAAATACTTTAAATAGTATTTAATCTATACTATTACCCAAATGTGACTTGTGGGCTTGTCTGATTAATGTTAATTATACTTTTGTTTCTATGGAGAGAGTACATTCCTAATTAGAAACATCTGGTATACCTCAAACTTTTTAGATTTTTTTTTTAAAAAGTGAAATATGTATGCTGAAAATGCATACAAACTCCTAAACAATTGAGTGGACAGTTATAAAGCGAATATACAGGAAATAACCATGCAGGTCATGGCTTTCCAAAAGCCCCCTGTGTGCCCCTCCCTGATCACAACCCTGTTCTTCTCCCCTAGAGGCAATCATTCTCTTAGCATTTGTAATAATACTGACCTTACTTTCCTTTATGTTTTTACCCCTTTTGAATGTGTCTCCAAGCAGTGTAGTTTCAGTGTGGCTGTTCTTTAACTTTATATGACTAGAATTATACTCTGTGTGTGTGTGTGTGTGTGTGTGTGTGTGTGTGTGTGTGTGTGTGTCCTGCTCAACACATATTTTTATGGAATTCATCCGTGCTGATGTGTATAGGTCATTAATTTTCATTGTTGTATAGTATTCCATTGTATGACTATACCACAGAGTATCCATTCTCTACATGGGATGTTTGGGGCTATGGGAGCAATACTGCTGTAAATATTTTTGTATATGTATCCTTGTGTGCATGTGCTTGAGTTTCTCTAGGGTGTAAAGCAAGGAGTGGAATTTCTAGATGAACGAAAAAAGAATTGCCGAGTAATAGGGTATATCTTTATCTATATCTTCAACTTTACTAGTTGGTGTAAACTATTTTTTGATATGCTGGTACCAAATTTCCACTCCTCCCAGTATATGTGAGATTTTCTGTTGCTCTGCATCCTCGTCTATACTTGATACTGTCAGACTTCAAAATTTTTGCAGGTCTAGTGGGGATGTGGTAGTATCTGCTGATGGTTTTAATTTGTATTTCCCAAATCACTAATGAGGTTGAACATTTTGTCATGTCCTTATTGGGCCTTTGGACTTTCTTTTGTGATGCCCCATTCAAGCCTTTTGCCCATGTATCTAGTGAGTGATCTAGGGGTTTCTTGTATGCATTTTTAAGAGTTCTTCATATTCTAGATACTAATATTCTAGATATTAGTCCTTTATTGGTTATACATGTTGTAAATATCTGTTCTCACTTCGTGGCTCGTCTTTTTACTCTCTTTATTCTGTCTTGATAAACATAAATTTGACATTTTGAAATCAATATATTTGTAAGTTAGAGGTTCATATGATGTCATGTATGAGACATTTCCTACATTTAGTATTCTAAAATATAATTCACCATTTATATCTCCTCAGAATAATATAGCAACATGGAAACTTTATATATAATGCAGATTTCTGTCAATCCCTAAACTTTCCTCCTCTGTTGTAATGAAAGAAGAAGAACTACTTGACTTTTTGAAATGTGTTTGTCTATTGTCATACATCATATAACAGGTTATACAGCTAAAGCAATGCAATGTGTTAGGAAAAAGGTGATAAATATCTTGGATTTGGAACTCAGTTGTCCAACAAATAGATCTGAGACATAGGGAGGAAGTCTTCACATAGCAAAACTAAACATCTGTGCTCACAGGAAAGCCTCTTGAATCCTGATTTTATATGTAATTCTTACCTTCATGGCCATCTAGTTACTTAGCCCATAAGAAAATAGAAGGGGAGACAGTTACTTCTGTCTAGACCCACTAGTAGCCACAAAGGCTGAGCTACTGTCAGCAAGAGAGGAAGCAGAAAAGCCCTGAGAGCAAAAGCTGATGGATGAATTAAAACTCTTAACAGTTTGTTCTATTTAGTGAGGGTACCAAGAGAGCATCATGACTGGGCCTGTCTGAGGACTCCCTTGCATCCTGCACTACACCATAATTATTACTCATGTTGGTATTTGTAACTGTTAACAGAAAGGGAAATCATGTTCGATGTATTCTGCTTAAGAAGTCAGAGATTAAAAGGTATTTATAAAAATGGTTAAACCGGGGAGATAAAGTGTTGGTGTTTACCTTTAGTTATCCAGAAAATTTGATGATCCTGACACGCACATTTCCCAAGGGGTTCTCAAGAACTGAGGTTGTTATGTTGACTGGGGTTTACCTTAATGGAATGACCTGTAAAGATGAAACTCAACTTTTCTCAGTCCTAGTGACTGACTCCTAAAAGACCGATGACTACCCTGGCATTTACTGAACATCTGTATAATCCACTCTAGTGCAAGCCACTGTCCTCTCACACATGGCCTATGAGCCAAGCCTCCTAACTGGCCCCCAGACATTCACTCTTACCTCCCCCCACTCTCTTCTCCATTCTGCAGCCAGCGTGATCTTTTTTAAAATGCAAGCTGTCCACATCACTTTGCGGCTCCAGTCCTTCACTAGCGTCCCTTGTTTTTAGGATAAAGATCAAAATTTTCAACATGACTGATGCGACTGCATGATCTGGGCCTCAGCCCACTTCTCTGGCCTCATGGGGGCCATTTTTCTTCCTGTGTCCTGCCTTGCAGCCTGCCTGGCCTTCCTTGAATGTGCCAGGGTTCTTCCCAGCCCGTGGCCTGTGTTTTCTCTACCTGGAAGCTTCTCTCTCCTCCCATGCCTAAGTCCACCCCTTTGACCCTCTCTTCTTTCTGATTTTAGTCTGTCCTGACCCACTGCCGAAGTCCCTTCCCCAAGTCACATCTCTCACGACACTCTGTACTGTTATTTCTCCGTTCCTGTCACCATGACCCTAAGCATTTGTGTGGTTATATGATTGCCTCCCCCGCCAGACTGAGGACAGTGGTATGTCTGTTTTATGTCCCCACTGCATCACCGAATCTAGCAAAGTACTGACTCATAGAAGGTGCTTGGTAAATATTTGTGAAAGGAATAACTGCAGAACAAATAAACACTTGGTAACATGTTTGGCAGTGTGGGTAAGAGAGAGATCGAGAAACTGGGACCAAATGTAATTAAGAAAATCAAAATCCTAGTTTGGGAGGATCGGAGAAGTTTCACCATTAGACTCTACAAAGTGGGTAGAATTTATCCAGACAGCGCTGGGGTGGGAGGGCAGAGGCAGGTCATTCTATATGGATGAAACGGTAAGAGCCAGTAAGGGAGAAAGGCAAAAATAGGAGGAGTTTGGGTCGTGCAGAGTAAATGTGCCTGGTTGAAATTGTGGGTTTGTGAGGTGAGCTGTGAAAAATAAGACCAGAAGATTTGCTTGGGTCAGATTACGGCAGATCCTGCACACCATTCAAAGGAAGTTAGACTTTACTGATTGACATCCAAGAAACACTGAGGGTTTGGGGTTTTTTTAATTTTTTGCCTGATGGTTACTTTTATCTTCACCTAGATGTACCACGGTCATCAAATTCTCTCATCTTTTCTCAAGACTCAGAAAGAGTCTAATGTTAACCCATCCACAACCCTCTGAATCTCATCTTCTGTCCCCACTTGAGTATATCACTCCAACACCTCTTTTCCTGCATGTTGTCGACGAGCTCCCGTCCGTCTGCCATCCAACACATGTTGCTACCTCATGCTCCAGTGAGGGCTGCACTTGAACTTCTATTCCTGATTCTTCTTTCTCTACATCCTCCCCACCTCCAGCCATAGTTTTTGTTGCTTCAGTTCTGATGTCCATGACAAAGATGCCAAGATTATAGCTCTGAAGTGACTTGACTCCTCATGGCAGTTTTCATATGAGTTTATTCACTCACCACCCCCATGTGCCAGGCTCTGTGCCAGGATGGAGAGGCAGCAGTGAAACAAAACAGGCCAGTGCCCGCCTGTATGAAGGCTAAGTTCTACTGAGGAACCAGAAAACCAACAAGCAAATTCAAGACCAAGTGGCCACATAATGAGCAGGGTTGGTGCTGGGCACAGTTTTTACAGCTGGTTGCCTCAGTGTTTCCAGTTGGATGTCTGACTTTTCCTCATTCTCAATCTCAAAAAGAGATTCCCTTCTTCTCTCAAACTAGTAACCCGGTTGACTTCCCTACTTGGGGCAGAATTCTCTTATAGCCAGTCTGTCGCCAAGTCCTGAGAATGAGTCCCTCAAAATCTGTTACACCACCCTGTCAGTTCTTGGTTACCCTGTGCTGAAATTCTTTCAGTAACCTCCTAAATGTCCTCCCTGCTTTCTAGGATTTTGCTCCTGCGTCTTATCTTCTCTCCTGACACCAGATTCATCCTCTCAAAGCTTTCCTTTCAATGTCTCACTTGTCAGTTAAAAGCTGTCAGTAGCACATTCACTAGGGATAAAGTACAGGCCCAACTCCAAAATGTTTAGTTTTCCCTCTGACACCTGATCCTTTAGAGACCTTTATCTGTTCTACATACTATAACGCACCTACTTTCGATTGAATCAGATGAAACTGCCATTTTTGTGTGTCTAAAAAATGGGTGAATACTGGCCGTTTATATGTTTCAACGTAATTCCACTTACCAATAAATGGTTGCCTGCGTATCTTTCTCCCATGTTACATTGTGAGTTCCTTGACGATCGTATCTTTATCTTCATGATGCTCATTGCTCTCCTGTCTACTACAGCATCTAGCACGTAGTAAATAATGATAATTAAATGCCCCCAGTCACAGCATGCTTTGCTCCTGCTTATGCCCATCTCCTGTGATGCTTACTGACTTGTTGAATCACATCTGGCCCGCCCTTCACTGCCAGCTGGACTCATGCCTCCTTCATGCAAATGCTCACCACTTCTCCCACCACACCTCTCAGCCACTAGTTGTGCCCCCTCCCCTGCCCACACACATACAAGCAAGTCAAATATCATTCTTTAACATTCAGGGCATACGTTGTGTGTTTTACTTGGCATCTGCCACATTGTGGAGCATAACATCGCACTCTTAACAATGAGTTGAGAAATCTCTGTTTCTGGCCCTTATCCCTCATGCTGGGATGCAGCCCCCTGTCTCCAGCTGTCTGTGACATTACTGCACTCGGATGACTCGCCTGGCGCTCCTCAGCAGACCTGAAACTGGACTCCTCACCTACCATCTCCCAGATAATCTTTTCTTAACCCCCATCCACTCAGCCACCTTGGCTCTCCTTCATTCTTGAGCCTTTTCCTGCAGTCGTGTTGCAGTGGATCATCATCACAGTGATTGCATATTCTTCATTCTGGCTCTGGATTTTCATGGGACTTGTAAAGTTTTTATTCCTGGGAGCTTCAAGAGCAGAAGCATGGCTCCCAAATCACAGTAGCATTCTCTAGGACCTACAGGCTCCTGGTACACAGGCCCCTTCCCCCTGGTCCTGCCCCTCTTCTGGCTCCCTTGCTGTCTGCAAACCTTTCCTCTGATGTTCTCTGGTACATTGTCTGTGTGATTATCTTCATCAAATATGATGATCTTTTAAGTAAGAATTGCCTTTGTCTACCAGCCTATCACAGACATCACCATGTCTCCCAAATTATTTCTCTGTACTGACAGATATGTTTCTGACCTCAGGAAGAGTGTTGTTGAAACAAGCTTTCTTTGTTATTAGAATGATTTCTGGAATCCCTTCTCTCAGCACCTTGTGAGATAGCATCTTCTTCCAGTTCGCTGGTGTTTCCTGTGGGTTAGCTTTTATCTCAGCAACTGAGTCCCGGGATCCGTGAAGACAAGGCCCACATGTGATAGCTTCTGTCATCTGCAGTGCATTGACATACAGTTAGACATTCACAGGCATGCTCAGAAAAGACTTGTTCGAATAATATGTTTTATGTGTATAACTTCCGTTTTTGTATATTTATGGGTTGTGTGTCTCTGAATGTGTCTGCCGTACACTCTCTGAGAAGTACTCATCTACGTGGTTTGGGAGGCAGGGATCTCTTGGACATATCCCCTGGCCGTCAGGCCATCAGGCCCATGACATTAAAACTATTATTAAGTCATGGGTTCCAGAAGCTCCTGGCTGTGGCCGGCCAGGTGAAGGGCCTACCTACAGTGTACAATTCCTTTTCTTCCCACCTGCTTGGGAGGCTTCCTTTTCCTTCTAAATAGGAAAGATGAATTTTTCTGTTTTAAACATAAAAAAGGAATGTGTATGTGTATATATGTTTGGGTATCCGTGCTTATGTACACGTATGTACATATATGTATGTGTGTGTACATATATGTATATATATATATATATATATATATATATATATATATATATATATATGAAGGAAATACACCAAAATGTAAATAGTGGTTATTTCTGGATGGTGGCTTTTTCCAAATTCTCTCTGACAAGAAAATCACTTCTATTAACAAAGAAAACCCTCACTGATGTCATTTTTAAAAGACAGGAAGGAACACAATTATTAGATGGTTGCTGAGGTCCACCCTCAGCATGAACCAAGGACAAGGGGGCAAAAGCAGGTACCTCGTAGGAAACAGGGGGATTGACTTCTCAGTATCTCAAGAGGAGGGAAAGTGACCAGAGAGTAAATTTGGACCGATGTGTAGGATGGGCCAAGGTTGTGAGCTGAGGAACTGAAAACTGTGTTTGGTTGTAGAGGTCAGGAGCCTTGGACAGTGAAAGGAAAGAGAAGGAAAATTCATGGTGTGTCCGGTTGGGGGTGACAAGGAGATGAGGAGTTCCATCAGGGTTTTCCCCCAAATGTAGCTATTTAGCGAAGGTATGGAAAGGGTGAGGAAAAGCTGAAAGTGAGTTCATGAAGAGATTCCATGGAGAGATATGCAGAGGGAGAGACAGAAAGCAGACATATTTCAAGTTTGGTTTTAAGCCCCTGTGATTCCAGAGGGGGAGGTTTCCAGAGTGACTCAGCATGGGGATGCTGGGACCCAGGTGAGGACGACACAGGGAGCCTCCGTGAAGGAAATGGGTTACCCTGCGTGGGCAGCAAGGTTTCGAATAGGAGGTTCATCATTAGGTCAAGACCCAGCTCTCCCCCGGCCCCTCACCTCCCTCTCTCCCTTCAGCTCCCACAGTCTGAGGGCAGAGGGAATGTTTTCTGATAAGAATTCTTGGTAAAGAGGCAATTTTTAACCTTTCTGAATTTGAAACAAAACAAAGAAATTACATGAAACCAATATTTTCAAGGTTGTTTCTCCCACACTGCCTAGTTCCATGGTTCTCTCAGAGGATTCCCTGAGCAGAGGGAGAAACAGAAAGAGGAAAAACAGGAAGATGGACTCTTTCCTGCTGTAGCTGGGGTGGTCCTCCAGAGGTGGGAAGTGCCTGGCCTGTCACTTGGGAGGGAGCGCACTCCACACCACCTGCCAGGCCTTCCTGCTCATCACTAAGCTGCTAGACTGCCTAGTCTTCCTCAGTAAGCTCCTGAGAGCATTCGGGATGAGGAAGCCTGGGGTCAGCATGAGCAACAAGCAGACATCTAAAAGCCAAAAGGAGACCCTTCAGGCAGAGTAGAAAGCCAGAAAGAACACATACAAAGGTCACCAGATCAGTCCTTAAAAAAGAACTAAACTAAAGACACACTTCACGGTGCTTACGTCTTTCCTGTGTACATGATTCAGTATTTTTACTACTCTATATCTCCGTGTTTAATTCTGATGGCTACATCAGGGAAAATCTCCAGTCCAGGCTCTAGTCTGACATTTGGGGTGGAGAAAAGCTCTTTTAAACCAGTTAATATAATTTGCAGAGTTCCCTGTGTATCATGGAAACAAACAGAGCACTTAAAGTCCCCATCAAGGGTAATACCCCGCGCCTCCTGCCGCCCCATCTAATAGGAAAGGCCTACTCCTTCTCTTAGAAAGCCCTGCTGTAATTGGGCAGACCAAGGAAAGCACAAAGGCTGCCTGCAAGGAAGCCATCCAGAGCATGAACAGCTGACAATAACAACCGCCTCTCTTGCTGAACTCCTTATAGGAGCCTGGCAGCTTGTGTATATACTCCTTCATTCTGTCCTCACAACAGTTCTTCAAGGTAAGTACCATTATCCTCATTTTGCAGATGAGGAAAATGGCACTCAGAGAGGTTCAATAACTTGCCCAAGGTCACACAACCAGAAAGCGGCAGAACCAAGATTTGAACCCAGGGCTCTCTGATGTCCACTATGCACACTGCCTTCCCCTGGACACGCTCACTAAAGAAAACAATTGGATAATTCAGGCCAAAACACACAAAGTAACATTATAGCCAAATGGTCTAAGTCCTATCATTACTGCCCCCTCCCCATCATCTGAATGAAACACACCTGAATTAAAATACCAAGAGCATTCCATGTTCCATGGATGCCATGGGTCAGTTGCTCACTGACTTGTGTGCCTAGCAGAACAAGGCACGAATCAGGAGCATAGAGGAAGCTGTTAATTAGGTCTTAACCATGGGAGTGGTAATTTGGGCACACTCCTGCCTCACTGGTTTCCCACTCCATCAAAAACAGCCAGAACATATATTCAACTGAAGATGCATTTAAAAATATAATGGAAAATAGTTGCCTCAAATTCTTTATGGATCGAGAAAGAGTACACATCTATAACATATAAATATGTTCCCCATTTGTGGCTATTTTTATACCACTGGATGTCCAGTGTTGTCTCTTGTGCTCCCAGGGTCTGCAGAACATCTCTCTATTGCTCAGAAAGTTGCATTCTGGGTGTCTAGTATTAGAATGGAGCCTACATTCTATTATATAAAGTATTTATATAAAGGGATCTGTACCTGAATAGGGGGAGGCAAAGGAAATCTCAGCACAGGCCCCTCCCCACCTAAAATAAAAGAATACAGGGGAGGTCTGGTTAATAAAAGCCACCGTCCTACGAAGAAGGTCTCACTGATTCTCGGCCCTCATGGAAAATGCCCAAGACAAGTACTTTTGGACAGTGTGTGCTGACAGATGTGAAAACGCAGTTGAAACACTGCAAAACTCGGGTTTTCCAGCGATGGAGTGATTGGGACATAGGGAAGGTCTCTGTGCTAAGGATTCCAAACCAGGCAACCTGCAGAGTTATGAGGGAAGTATTTCTAAAAGCTAACTTTAGGCCCTACCCTGGCCTACTGAATCAAAATGCCAAAGGTATATAGTGACTGGACATGGAACATATATGAATTCCACACTGGGAGTTATTTTCTAAATAATAGAAATCATTCACATCTCAAAAAAAAAGTGATGGCCTTTCTCTCTCTCTCTCTCTCTCTCTCTCTCTCATACACACACACACACACACACACACACACACACACACACACTTCCACTTCCACTTAAACTTTTCCCACTAATCCTTTCTTTAGGCCAGATTTTTAGAAAATCATCTCAATGAGATTATGAACAGCTATCATTTTTAAAGTTAAGAGCTATGCATTGGCGTTCACTACTCTTTCATGTTACCAACTGGGCTATATAAAATAATGGCTTCCTATATTAATGTGTCTATATTTTCTCAGGGTTTTAGAGGAAAGCATTCAGTTTGCCTACGTGTCTCATATATCAAACCATCAGACAGATTTGCAGGTGCACAGAGACAATCACAACTTAGATTTAAAGGGGGATAAACATTTTTCTGCACAACCTAATGAGTATGTAGAACGAAGTGACCCAAACCACTTCTACTTAGGTCCTTGAGGATAAGATGGATCCTCAAAATATGTGAGATGCTTTCTCAGACCTTTGAAATCCACAAACATACAAATGTACAAATATCACTTAGGAGGTGGATTCTCCTTTACAAGAGGCAACATAGCACAGTGGTTAAGGATAGCCTCAGAATCAAACCGACCACAGTGCAAATCTCACTCCCTTCACTTGCCGGTTGTTTGATCCTGGGCGGGGCCTCTCAGGGCTCCAGTCTGCAAAATGGAGGTAATGGTATTACCCACCCCATAACGTTGTGGTGCAAATTACGAGAAACGATGCATGCCGGACACTCAGCCTTTGGCTTGGCGCATGCTAAAGACTCAACAAATATTAGTTGTTAATAATACTGATAATAAAAATGATGAAGACCTTTAGCTATTTTAATAAACGACAATAAAAATATTTTTTAAAACTGTCTCCCCCTTCAGAATATTAAGAACTGTGTAAAGAACAAAATGTCAAATTCGGCATTTATAAAACTGTTAAATTCGACCACTGCAGTAAATTCTACAAATCTTAGAGCACATCTATAAACTAAACTGGTAATGACAGTGATTTATGGTGTGAGCTAAGCAGGACAGTGGACACCACCCCTCCACCACCCCACCACCCCACCTCCCCATTAATGTAATGCAATATAAAATTCCTAAGGCCCTTTTGCCATGGCCAAGGTGAGCTCAGTGGTCAGCAGTACCTTCCATGAATCCTAAGTATCCCTAATCTTCCTCACAGGTCAGGGTAACTACCATTTTAACTTGATGCTGAAGTGTTTTCTCTCCCTTAATGAACAGTTTTTGCATGGCTGGAATTCTTGCTAAGGGAGCTTGTAAGACTGCTGAATCACAGACCTGTACCTTTTTTCTCATTTCTATATGGCAGATATGAGGAGCTGAGCCACAGTCAAATATGGGGTCATACTCCTTAACTTATCTTGAACTTTTCTCTTGGTTGAGGCATTGCTCTTTAGAATACTTCAGTCCTCCAATAGCACTAGAAGTTGACTTTCTTTGAGGGGCCATTGTTAAGGACACATTCCATTGTTCCGGTGGCCAAGTAGAGTCGGCGTGGCCACACTGGAATATGGAAGCCGGGTCTCTGGCAGGCTCCCTCACTCCCTCAGTAATCCACTCCCTCAGCCAGCCCTGCGGCCTCAGAGACCAACCACATGCCTCAGAAAAATTGCAGATTACCACATGTCATAGACCCTGGAAACACTTGAAATCAGGAATTTTAAGTCACTCACTGCCAAAGATCTGCTACATAAATGGGTAAACTTTTCTCAGTTTCTTTCCCCCAAATGAATGTCATAGTGAGGCTTGCTGGCAGGCACAGGGATCCTAAAAGAGTTGAAACAAACAAAACAAAAAGGATATGAAATAAACACTGAGGATCACTCATAGGACCTCATATTTAATGCAGCCCTCCTTATGTTCTTCCTGGCTCTCCTCCTGCTTTTATGTGTGGGGGAAACCACCACAGGACTGCTCAACCAGGAGCTATTGCAGAGAAAAGTATATGGATTGGAACCCTGACCAAGTCAGTAAAAGTGGCCGGTCAGCGATCCTCATCTGGATCCTGGACTTGGTCGGCTTCTTCTGAACCTTCAGACCAAGGAGTGTCCTACACAGCACTCTGCTCACTCCATTTCCTCTTCTCAGAAAATGATTGTGTATTTGCCAGGTTGCACTCTGTGCCTTGGGTTGCTAGAAATACAGTAGGTTGCACTGATGATTTAACTCTGTTTTCTATAAAGGGCTACGGGATCTCATGCAGATTTTTGCAAAGTCATATGCAAATCACAGAGCCCCGGCCCTTTTCTTAACAGGATGGCAACCTTGCTCCTCGGTGGCACCTGGGACCTGGAGATCCTTTCTCCACTTACGTTTAGCGCGCAGCCTGGGACTTGTCCCTGCAGCTCACCGGGTTAGCCGTGCCGCCGTTGGGACCTCCCACCTGGACTCCCTTCACCCACCTCTCTTGAGACTACTCTGGCAGGGCTGGTGTGGGGTACAGCCTTTGCTCAGAGAGCAACATGTTCCAAGCAAAATCTGCCCACCTGGGCCATGGGCTTGCCCCTCGGGCTCCCTGCTTCTCTACTGGGTGCGATTCGAGGTTGCTGAGCTTCCCTCCAAAGTTGAAAATGGTGGGACGGTAGGGACCTGTGAGAGGCCCCATGACCCAAGCTACTTCCCGCGGCTCCCAATCCAAACACCAGGTACCCCAGGCCCTCACTGCCCGGGAGGTCTGCAGTGTGAGTGGGCACGTTCGTCAGAGGGACATACTTATCTCTGGAGTTTTTCTCCAGGTTGAACATCTCTGTTGTCAGTGGCCCCCAATCTAGAAAACCCATTGTTCTAATCTAGCCTACCTCCCCCACATCCTGAGAAAGAGGGAGGAGGAACAAGGGATAGTTTCTGGTAGAGAAGAGGATGGTTAACTCTAGCTGTTCCCAAACATTGGCCCAACCACATCCCCAGCAAATGTTCTATCTGAGTCAGCCTGCCCAGGTTTTGTCAGAATTTTCCGGCTCCTCTAACCGCACTCACCTCTGAGGTCTCTGGTTCAAAGACCACCCTCCTAGCCTCCGTGTGCTTCGAGATTACCCTGTTGGTGGTGGGTGGGGAGTGGGAGAAGAAATAAAGGAAACAAACTGGCTCCATGTTGGTTAACTGTTGAGACTAGAAGGTCGGGGACGTGGCCATTCATTATACCATTCTCTCCACTTTTGTATGTGTTTGCAATTTTTCATAATAAAAAGTTAAAAGTTTAAAAAGTCCTCCAGCTTCCAAGACACTCAAGAGAGCCCCAACCCCTAACAGAGTTTCCTGGAGACCCCACACCAAGTCAAGAGGCAAGGATGATTCCATTACATATATATATATATGTATATATATATGTGTATATATATACTCATTTTCTAATTTTTTAAGGCCCACTGCTTTATTTTCAGTAGACTAAACCTTATTTCTAAAAGGTCCCGAGGTTGGGCTCACTTCCCCCAGCTGGGTTATGGGGGAGGACTGGGTAAAGGGGTCCTTAAGATCCTGAAAGTTTACACTTCCATGTACCTCACAGTCTTGTGAGGATGGGACTTGTTCAGTGTTCTGAACTTTGTGGAGGAAACACGCTCTCAATTCACAGTGTCATTCCCTGGAATTGCACCTGGCTCAGGAAAGGACTGTCTTTGTACTTGAATTTAAATCCAATGGAGAACCTTAATATGGGCATTTGCATGACTGAGAATTGCTGCTGTCTTTTTTCCGTATGTCACTTTCTTGAATGTGTTCTAATAAAATGATTCTAAAGCAGGCTGTGATATACAGTGATTTATAAATACTTTCTGTTGAGCGCTGAGGCCCTTAATTTCCTACCAAGAATCCACCCCATTCCACTTTCTGGAAAGATCTGTCTAGCTGGGACAGACGCAGGAACGTCCGTATGGCATGCCGTGATGGCGGCACTTCTGCAATTGCGGTCATTAATAAGAATCATGTCAACCACAGGAATTTTGTGTTCTGGTTGCCTAGCAGCAGAATTTGTTTTCCAGAATAAAGATGGCCATATGTAGTGGATGAGTGCGGGGGTGAAGGGGGGGCGGGCGAGTGGAGGAGGCAGGGCAGGAGCAGGAGTATAATTCACTCTACCAGGGAGGGAACAAGGCAGAAGGAGAGACAAAGGCAGCTGAAAAGAGAGACAAGCAAGGTTCAGTCGTGTTCTGTTCAGTGATAACCCTCAGCACATTCAAAAGATAATGAGTTGTTAAATTTTATTTACAAAATTGCACCTTTGGCTCTCATGACGTAGCAAGTTAGAAATCTCAAAATCTCATTAAGCAAACTGGAAGCAAAGGAAGAAAATACAGATCTCCAAAGGTAGATACTTTGAGAAACACTTTTTATCTCAATCATTACCCCCCTCAACCAGACAGGCCAGGGCACTAACATGAGCTGGTAACCAACTGAGGCTGCCTCTCTAGCGAAGGAAGCATTGTTAGAAACCTCCTAACGGGCCAGGAGGGCAGAACCAGACAAGGAGGCTTCTGTTTGCTGAGCACCTTTCTCATACAGGTGCTGGGAAGCCTCCTGATATACATCATCCCCTCTAATCTTCACAGCCACCCTGAGAGGCAGGCAGTTCTGTTTTCATTTTTCAGATGAAGAGGCTAAAGCTAAGGGAAGTAAATAACTTGCATAAAATCATAAAGCTGAAAGATAGCAGATCTGTGATTCAAATTTAGGTCTCTGATCTCCAAGTCCATGCTTTTGCAAACCACAGGGCTGTTGCCCCTGTGCCCAGCTTGGGCTCTCTCCTCTGCACTGCTGTGGTCTTCACCTTAATGGATTGGGCACCTTCTGTATGCCCTGGGAGTGAGGGGGTGGGCACAGGCAGTGTCCTGCTCTTCCTTGTGTGATTGGAGGTCTCTTCCAGTCCAGGTCTTTGTAGCCCACGTCCATGTCCCTGTGACATACTAGTGCAGAGCACAGGCTGATGAGTCTGAGATCACCATCTGGCTTTCATAGGGATTGGCTCACTTAGCAAATACCTGGTGCCTACAAGTGCTGGGCATATGAACTAGGTGGGCAAATATAGACTCACCCCTGTTCTCATGGAGTTTGCCAGTAGAGGATACCTACATTAATCAAGTAACACATGAATAGATTTATAATAACAACTGCTGAAAGGGGCCTTGAAGATCACTGAGATCAGCAAATGAAATGAGACCCAGAAATGCTAAGCAGTTTGCCCAGGACCACACAGCGAGTTAGGGGCAGAGGACTAGAACTCTGGTTTTCATTCTTAGACTGCTATTTTCCCTGCCATGTCACCCTCTAGTCTGTCCCACACCCATAGACTGCCCCTAGCCCCAAACAGCCAGATAAACATGTTGATCAATCAGTACACTCTCCCAGTGCCTAGGAAAAACCGGATAGCACATTTTGTAATGACAAACGGTATCGTGAACCAAATCCCCAAGGACGACATATACCCAAGCCTTGTTCGTAGACTTTTTTTCAGAGCCCAAAGCAGGAACAGAGAGGCAAGGTTCCCATGCCATAGCAACATTGCCTAATAAGGATGGTTGCAGGTGTTTCAGTGTTTTGGTGTGACCCCAATATTTTCACATCTCCCAGGTTCAGCAGCTATTCATTCACCCATTAATTCAACAAATATTTACTGAGTGCCCTCTAGTGCTGCTAGGCATAGTTCTCAGAGCTGGGGACACAACACTGAACAAAATGGACTGTCCTTATAGAGCATATATTCTAGCCCAGGGAGACAGTCAGTAAACAAAATAGAAAGCAAGTAATACAGCATATTAGAAGGTGATAAGTGCTACAAGAAGGGGGTAGGGAGTCTCCAAGGTGGGGATGAATTGTTAGGGTGGTTGGGAAAGGGACCTACCTGAGAAAATGATGTTCCAGATCATCATTTTCCACACATACACACACACACTCACACACACATACACACACAGAGCTATGCAGTGTGATGTAGAGAGTCCCATAAGCCTTCCCCTGCCTCCCTCAGAAAAGTAAAAGTTTGTCATTGTCATGTCCCAGAGCCCAATTCCTAGCTTCCTTTTTCTCTCCTTTGGCCAAACTAGGGGTTCTTAAATCTGAGTGTTTATCAGACTCATCTAGAGGACTTTGTTAAAACAGATTGCTGGGCCCTACTCCCAGAGTTTGTGAATCAGTACATGGGGGTAGATCCAAGAATTTGCATTTCTAACAAACTCCCAAGAAATGCTGATGCTACGCACCCAGGGTCCACACTTTGAGAGCCACCAGATTAATCTATTATAGCTGCAAGGTCCCTGTTAAAATGAAACTATTACCCAAAAAAGGATGCATCCATTCACTAGGGTGAATGGACATTATCAAAGTAGCTATCCTTGAAGAGCAGGGCCCTCAAGAAAGGGGACTACTTTTAATTGGGGAAAGTTTCAGAAACCACAGCCCAAGACCCTAAGCATTGAGGAGTTAGGGCAAGGGACAGTTCCTTAAA